GCACGCACGCACGCACGCACGCACGCACGCGCGCACACACACACACACACACACACACACACACACACACACACACGACAGAAAAGGAGGAGGCAGACTTGCTGGGAAAGAGTAGGGTTTCACCAGGAAGCAGGGGATGAGACAAGGTATTAGTGAGTGACATGTATTAAAATTATTGTATACATGTATGGAACTTTCAAAATTTAAATTATAAAACAGAGAGAAACCACGAACCAATCTCTTACCTAGTCCAAGAGCAAGGCAGGTAAAGCCTATGTCTGACAGTGATAAAGACTGGGAACTGGCCTGGGGAGATACCTTAGTATGCAGAAGTGCTTGTAAGCATGAGGACCTGAGTTTGACTTCCCAGAATCCACTTAAAGCTAGATACGTTGTGTGAGCTTCTGTAACTGTAACATGCCTATGGAGAGATGGGACATAGAAAGGGAAGCAGTTATATACCAGGACAGATATTCTGGTATATTCAGTAAAATAAGCACGGGAACTCTGTTGCATACAAGGACTAAGCCTGAAGCTGTCCTCTGGCCCTCATACATGTACATTACAAATAAGACTAGGCTTATGTGTGTGCACACAACATACATGGCACACATTCTTAAAGTTACTAAAAGCCCTCCAGAAGCCATGTGTTGAAGGTTTGATTGTCACCGTGCAGTGCTATTGCCAAATGGGAGAACCTCCAGATGGTGTGGCCCGGTGAAGGGAGTTATTGGGGTTACCTTTGAACTCGGGGGATGTTGGGATCCAGAGAACTCATTCTGTGCTGCTGCCCCACGCTCCTTATGCCACCATATGCCAAATAGCTCTGCTCCAGCACTGGTTTCTACCATGGTGCTTAGCCTCACCACAGGCCCAAAGCTTCAGGGCCAAGTAAGCACAGAACGAACTTCTGACACTGTAAGTCACAATGAACCTTTCTTCCTTATGAGTTGATATGCTTAGGTATTCTCGGGGGTGAGAATACAATCGGCACAAGGATCTCGTTCTCAAAAAACACATAGTTAACTTGACAACTATTAAAGTATGTCTTTGATTCATGAGTGCTTTCTCAGTAATAAACAGAACTTAAAGGGCACAGAATGTGGCTAATGGAAGTCAGTGTCTGACCAATGCTAATCTTCCTAGTTTTATGTTGGGAAACTGAGACTTGCAAAGATGAGGACATTTGAAAGTAGCCTATTAAATGATAATAGCTGGTTCCTGGGGAAATCTGGCTTTGAAAATATTTACCATATAAAATCTTATAAGATCTATGCATGAAGGGATGGATGTCTAGCAAAGAAATTACTTGCTTTGTAGATGAATTTTTTTCAAAAGTTCCTTTAAAGGCAGCCAATGCAATCGAATTATGATTTGATTATGGGATATTTGATTTACCCACAAGTTTTCAAGAACCCTCCAATTATACAGAAAATATATTAAACTTGGGCTAAGCTAGGTTTGTCCTGTTTTAACTTGAATTAGAAGTGACCAAAGTGTCTTAAAAGGTGCTAGTTTTTCACATGAATTTTCACTCAGTTTAATTTCCTTATAAAATGGAGAAAAAAATGGTTTTGACTCTGTGTGTCTTTTCAGCATAGCTATATATTCTTAGGTGTGACTTAGCTTTATCTTTCATTTTCTTATCTGGCTAAGAAGATGCAGTTGTTCAAAACCAATTTATTGGGTTAATTCTTTCCTCTGTCATCTTTGTAATTATTTCCAATAGGTTTTGGCTAAACAATTCATTCTCCATCATGTGGTTTCATCTCAGCTTAAAGTTTGTGTTCACAAAGTCAGTTGTCATGGCAACAGCTGGGCTGTTACCAGACTAATATTGTGATTATATTGTGAGAAAAGGAAAAGGGAAATGATGGGGGAGGAGGCAATTTTCTGGACATTTCTCCATATCTGTGTTTTAATAATTAATCCTATCACTATTGTACTTACTCTCATCCACAATTCTGTTCTTAAATACTCCAAGTTCTAGTACACTGATCATCTGGCATGCATTTGTCATACATTTATAATTTAATTGATATTTATTAAGAAGAAGCCATTATGTCTGGTATAGCATAAGCGCAGTAATTGACTTACATATTCATAAATATGTATTGTGCCAAGCCAGGTTTTAGGAGTTGTACCCAGTAGTGAACAAAGAAGATAGGATCATGGCTGTCCTAGAGAAGTAGGAAACCCAGACAGTGAAGAGGTAAACACACATAGAAGTACACTCAGATACTAACACATGGTACCACAGGGATAAAGTATAGTACCATGAGGAAGTGATGAACACTGATGTTGAGGAAAAGCCTGGTAAACTGGCATTGGAATGGGTACCTCAATGATAAAGAGAGAGTCATACAAACTATGTGGGGAGAATTTTTTTCAGATAGAAGCTTCAGTGTGTGTGAAGGAACCAAGGCACAAAATGCTTAACATGTTAACTTGTTCATTTTGAGATAGGGTTCACCATTTAGCTCAGGTTGGTCTTGTACTCATGGCATTCTTCCTCCTTCAACTTCCCCAGTGCTGGAATTACAAGTATTTGCCATCACACTGACAAACACATAAAGTGACCAATGAGTATGGAAGATAGGGAACAAATGAATGAAGAATAGGAGGTGAGATCTCAGATCTAATCTTCAATGACAAGAGGGCAAAGTTCATGAGTATTGTAATAGTTACTTATTGCTGTGACAAAATACCCAACAAAAGCAACTTAAGGAAATAAGAGTTTATTTTTTTTGTTCACTTTGAGGGTATAATCCATCATGGTGGCAGGAGTATAGGTCAGCTTCTCACATTGCACCCATATTTAGGAAGCAGAGACAGAGGAATAAAGTTCTGAGCTTACCATATTATTTTAATTCACCGCAGCACTCCAGCCCGTGAGGTGATTCCATGCTTAGCATGGGTCTTCCTATTTCTATACTGTCATTAGGATGGGTCTTCCTATTTCTATAAACTCAGTCTAGAAATTCCCTAACAAACATGCCCAAACGTTTGTCTCTCGACTGATTCTGGATTCTGTCAAGTTGACAGTTAACATTAGCCACCACAGGGATGTATCCTATACTATTTTTCAGGTTTGGAAAATGCCAAAGGTCCCTGCATTTGGTCTAACTTTCCACTCTGCAACACGGATATGGGTGGAGGAGACACCCATAATACACAACATGAACATTGGCTGTTCCTTATCTCCCCATCTGCACATAGATTTCACAATACATGTGGATATAAACTCTGGCAGCCCCATGATGTTCCAAATTCAAAAAGACACAAAGCTCTATGTAATTTTGCTGTATAAACCACTGTATATTTAAAGGCATTAAGTCTTAGAGTGGCAACATCTTCTGAATGAACTTTGAATGAAGGGTGAAGACAATGTTATACTAAAAAGCACTGAGGGCTAAGAAAATATATTATACCCTTCCTTACTTGTGTGTCTTCAGTATTATACCCAAATATTCTTTCAGGGAAAATGAGGACATAGAACAAATGGAAAAGGACATAAGGATATTCTGAGCTCCTTTTCCTTTAATCCATTCGTTGCTCATCAGTAAACCAAAGAACAGAAAATTGTACCTAAAAAATTCAGTAAAATCTAGTCAAGATTTGTAGTTATTCTTCTTAGATGAGATATATACATGCCCAAATACAGAGTTTGTGTTCTGTGGTTTCACATTTAGCTAATGGCATATGCTCACATTTGCATCTAAAACTAGCACGTTATAGCTTTAAATAAATAAAATTATGTTAGCAATTTAAATTTTATGATGATGATTATTATACTTATTTTATTAATAATTTTAAGTTTCTTTTACTGAGAGCAACATCAAATAGCACTCAGAGCATAGAAGGATATGCCCAGAGAAAGGCAGTAGATGGAAAACCTAGTATTTTAGAAAATTTTCACTGCATTCTATGAATTCATGGTAACATAAGACATATAACAACAGATATTATTGTATAAAAGAATCTTAGGCCAATTACTTAGTGTGTCTGAGCCTCTAATTCCTCAGCTTTCAAATGGAGTTAAGGAACAATGCTATAATGAAGGTTATTTCTCAAGATGTTGCATGAGTAAATCCTTCACTGGGAGACTATTTTTTTGGCAGGTATTCAATAAAATATAAGTGTGATGTTGTAAAAGTACCTTATAAAACAGTGGGTTCTCCATGGATATGATTTATTTTAGGGTTGTAAGAAGGACAATTTTATATCACCAAGGCAGTACTTTCTGCTTTAAAGTAAATTGAGAAACAGCATTCAGCAGTATACCTGTGGCAGTTAATTTTATGTGTTAACTTGCTTGGGCTAAATGATACCTAGATAGCTGGTAAAAAAATCAATTCTGGATGAGTCCGATTCAAGAAGAGATTAGCCTTGGAATCAGTAGACTGAGTAAAGATTTCCCTCATCAGCATGGGAGGGCATTATTAGAACCTTTTGAGATCGTAATCAGATTAGAAAGGCAAAATATGGCTAGATTTATTTACTTTTCTTGAGTCAGGACATCTATTTTCTTCCTGCATGTTCTCTGCTCTTCAGATTCTTGTCCTTATACCAGTTGCCCCCTCCACCCTCTTGAAGTTGGACCAAAATAAGCAGCTGTGAGGTGGCATGTTGTGGACTTCAGTCTCAGCAATCATGTGAACTAATCCTACAACAAACTCAGTTTATACATTTTTTTTTTTGTCTTATGAGTTGTGTTTGTCCCTCTGAAGAATTGCAATATAGTACCTTATGATAGTCTAGCTTCAGGAAAGCCTTCAGATGCTTATATTACAATTAGTAACAGTTACAAAATTATAGTTGCAAAG